TATCTTCTTTCAGATATTGAAGTTAGTTGGTCTCTTTTTGTTTGTTACTGAGTGTCTTGGGTATTGCACAATGAATTTTTGACAGGAAAGCAAAATTCTCAAGTTTTTGGGGTTTATGTGGAATCCACTTTCATGGGTCATGGAAATGGCTGCAATCATGGCCATTGCTTTGGCCAACGGTGATGGTAGGCCTCCGGATTGGCAGGATTTTGTCGGTATCATCTGTCTGTTGGTTATCAACTCTACCATCAGTTTTATCGAAGAAAACAATGCCGGTAATGCTGCCGCTGCTCTTATGGCTGGTCTTGCTCCTAAAACCAAGGTATAGATATGATAAGAGAATGGTGTAAAGTTGTTAAACAAAACTTTTCTTATTTTACCTAGAGCTAATGTTTTGGTTCTTGTTGTGTTGTTTTTCTGTTTCAGGTTCTTAGGGATGGAAAATGGAGTGAACAAGAAGCTGCTATTCTTGTCCCAGGAGATATTGTTAGCATTAAATTGGGAGACATTATCCCTGCTGATGCTCGTCTACTTGAAGGTGATCCTTTAAAGGTTGACCAATCTGCTCTAACTGGAGAGTCCCTTCCTGTAACCAAGCACCCAGGTCAAGAAGTTTTCTCTGGTTCAACCTGCAAACAAGGAGAAATCGAGGCGGTTGTTATTGCCACAGGGGTTCACACCTTCTTCGGTAAAGCTGCTCACCTTGTCGACAGCACCAACCAAGTTGGACATTTCCAGAAGGTTCTTACAGCCATTGGAAACTTCTGTATCTGTTCCATTGCTATCGGTATGGTGATTGAGATCATCGTCATGTACCCGATTCAACGCCGAAAGTACAGAGATGGAATTGATAACCTTTTGGTCCTCTTGATCGGTGGTATCCCCATTGCTATGCCCACGGTCTTGTCTGTGACCATGGCTATTGGGTCTCACAGGCTGTCTCAGCAAGGTGCCATCACCAAGCGTATGACTGCCATTGAAGAGATGGCAGGAATGGATGTCCTGTGCAGTGACAAAACCGGGACACTAACCCTCAATAAGTTGAGTGTGGATAAAAACTTGGTTGAGGTTTTCTGCAAGGGTGTGGAGAAAGATCAAGTCCTATTATTTGCAGCTATGGCTTCCAGGGTTGAGAACCAGGATGCCATTGATGCAGCCATGGTTGGGATGCTTGCTGATCCAAAGGAGGTATAATCTTTTCCTGTTCGAATTACATTTATAGTTTTACTGAGGTTCCAAGAAACAAGTTCTTATGTTTAATTGGTATTTTCGCAGGCTCGAGCTGGAATTAGGGAGGTTCACTTCCTTCCCTTCAATCCTGTGGATAAGAGAACTGCTTTGACTTACATTGACGGTAATGGTAACTGGCACAGAGTCAGTAAAGGTGCTCCTGAGCAGGTAATGGATTTTCAACCTTACAAGCTAATGTCTTTTTTTATGTTTCCAATTTATACTAATTTGATTCTCCAAACAGATCCTCGAACTTGCCAAAGCCAGCAATGACCTTAGCAAGAAGGTGCTCTCCATTATTGACAAGTATGCCGAGCGTGGTCTTAGGTCGTTGGCTGTTGCTCGCCAGGTACTTATTCGCCATTAGTACTCATAGTTCCAGTCTTTTTTTGTATTTCTTTTCTCAGTGGAAACAAATGTTCAACTGTTTGTCTTCTTATTTCCTTTTTAGGTGGTGCCAGAGAAAACAAAGGAAAGCCCAGGTGCACCATGGGAATTTGTTGGCTTGTTGCCACTTTTTGATCCCCCAAGACATGACAGTGCCGAAACCATTCGACGGGCTTTGAATCTCGGTGTTAATGTTAAGATGATCACTGGTACATTTGCCTACCCATCTATCTTGTGCTAACTATACACCTTTACATGTCCCCCCTAACATTCTCTTGGACGACATATGTGGCCAGGTGACCAACTTGCTATTGGTAAGGAAACTGGTCGCAGACTTGGAATGGGAACAAACATGTATCCATCTTCGGCTCTTCTTGGTACACACAAAGACGCAAACCTTGCATCCATTCCTGTTGAGGAGTTGATTGAAAAGGCTGATGGATTTGCCGGAGTCTTCCCAGGTTACAATCTACTTATTTATTGTTTTGGATTATAATAAACCTCACTATATGTTCATTGCAAAGGTTGTGATGTTAGATCTAAGCTTCCTTGTTTGTTATTGCAGAGCACAAATACGAAATTGTGAAAAAGTTGCAGGAGAGGAAGCATATTGTTGGAATGACTGGTGATGGTGTCAATGATGCCCCTGCTCTAAAGAAAGCTGATATTGGTATTGCTGTGGCTGATGCTACAGATGCTGCTCGGGGTGCTTCAGATATCGTGCTCACTGAGCCTGGACTCAGCGTTATTATCAGTGCTGTTCTCACCAGCAGAGCTATTTTCCAGAGAATGAAGAACTATACTGTGCGTCTTCTCCTGTTTTTCATTTGTAATTTATTCCAACCAATTGCCTGCTTGCAATTGAAACTAATTACTCTGTTCTCTTTTTTCTCTCTTGTTACAGATCTATGCAGTCTCAATCACCATCCGTATTGTGGTATGCATATAACTCCGTTTGAGTTCTTGGCCTTGTTGGTTTTATCTTGGATTAATAGTTTGCTGATCATATTGCTTTGTAACTTTTTGCAGTTTGGTTTCATGCTTATTGCTTTGATATGGGAATTTGACTTCTCAGCTTTCATGGTTCTGATCATTGCCATTCTTAACGATGGTGAGCAATGGCTGTCCTTTTCTATAAAACTCAAAATCTGTTAACCTTTTCATAACTGTTTACTTATATCTTTTGCTATTATGTTGCTACCTTAATCTTATAGGTACCATCATGACAATCTCAAAGGACAGAGTTAAGCCATCTCCCACACCTGATAGCTGGAAACTTAAAGAAATTTTTGCCACTGGAGTCGTTCTAGGAGGATACCAAGCCATCATGACTGTTATTTTCTTCTGGGCTGCGCACAAGACTGACTTTTTCTCGGTACATACGACTGAGCTAATTACTTTCTCTTTCCATAAGGTTTTTCTTAGGTTCTTGTTTAGAGTTGTAAAGTAAAATTTCACTTTGGATTCACAGGACACATTCGGTGTGAGGTCCATTAGGGACAATAACCACGAGCTAATGGGAGCTGTGTATCTACAAGTTAGTATCATTAGTCAAGCTCTGATCTTCGTTACGAGATCAAGGAGTTGGTCATTTGTTGAACGTCCTGGGGCTTTATTGATGATTGCTTTCCTCATTGCACAACTGGTAAGATCATCAAAACCTAAGGGACTTCTTAATGGGTAAAAAAAGATTCTCAAAGAAAACACTAGTTGAATCCATTCGTTCTTTCAAACGCAGATTGCAACTTTGATTGCGGTTTATGCCAACTGGGAATTTGCAAAGATTAGGGGTATTGGATGGGGATGGGCTGGTGTGATCTGGCTATACAGTATTGTCACATACTTTCCATTGGACGTTTTCAAGTTTGCCATTCGATACATCTTGAGTGGAAAGGCGTGGCTCAACTTGTTTGAGAACAAGACGGCTTTCACGATGAAGAAAGATTACGGAAAAGAAGAGAGAGAGGCTCAATGGGCACTTGCTCAAAGAACACTTCACGGTTTACAGCCAAAAGAAGCTGTTAACATCTTCCCTGAGAAAGGAAGTTACAGAGAGTTGTCTGAGATCGCAGAGCAAGCCAAGAGAAGAGCTGAGATCGCTAGGTAATTAAACCGATCACACCGATTCTTTTGATCTAAGTATATTCTTTTGTTGGAATTAAACACTAATTGAATGATTTATATGTTAAACAGGCTTAGAGAGCTGCACACACTCAAGGGACACGTTGAATCAGTAGTGAAGCTAAAGGGCTTGGACATTGAAACTCCCAGTCACTACACTGTGTAGTAAAACCAAACATGATTGATCTTCGATCTTCTCCTGTTTTGTCTTTTTTTTTTTTCTTTTTCTTTTTCTTCACCACCTCTTATGATGATTATTTACATAGGGAGAGATCTTTGTTTATTGCCATAACTCTTCCCAAATCTTATTGTTAGTGTTCTTGTTTCTCAAATCTGTAATTTTGCAAAATTTGCTTTTTTGAAGAAACAAGGCATGCCTTTGTGGTTGGCATTTGGCACATGCACATTCTCTTCTTTGCTCTTATTCCATGGGCCTATGTAATCTTAATCTTCTTCTTTTACTTAATACAAATTTTCTTCCGGCTTAATTACGTTTATAAACAGTACCAAAAAACCAAACAAAAATAAAAGGTTATTACAACAAACAATTTGCATTTTTAAAAGGGAAATTAGTTTGATGTAAAGAAGGGGAAATAATCCATAAAAAATTTCTTTGTTTTTTCACTGAAACCAAAATCAATTAAACAACACAATCCTTTAAAATGCCATTAAAAACATGACATGAGACAAGTTGTGTGGAAGTAGTACGGATAGAAGAATCTTAAGAGAAATAGAGAGATTTGGATGAGTGCGAGTGACTGTGAGACACGTGCAAAGATATGGATGATGACTTCAAATCAATGTTACGACTTACGACTTTCAGAGTTTACACATATGTCATCTGACTTCCTCCTTTTTAGATATTTATATTTTTCGACGTTTTTTTCTTACTCATCGAATTTTTGGTAAGCAATATTAGTCTTAATTTTTGTTTTACTTTTTAATGGTGCACACTGTTGCTAAAACATTTTGGCGATCTCTACAAATGTGTAGCTTTATTTAATTGAAGATTTTGTAGTTGAAAGTTCATATGTTTTGGCTAAAGGAGAAAAAAAATTGTAGTTATAAAAATATATACACAAAGTTTGTCAGCATATGATAAATTATAATCAAAACATAAGAATTTGATTTAGGCAACACATGCATTAAGGGGAACATTAAAATGATAAATTAAGGGGAAAAAGACAAAACATAAGAATTTGATTTAGGCAACACATGCATCGTCGTCTATTTGGCATTACAACCAAGTGACCAACAATATAAATTTTAATCAGATTTTTATCGATTTTTATAAGATGTATTAACAGCCATGTATGGTATTTTAGGTATTTCCGTAACCATGATTAATTAAGGATAGGAAAAGGAAAACACTAATACATGCTCCTGTTCTTGAAGAAATTAAGAGAAAAAACACACAAGATGATTTTCGTTTAAAAATAAAACATAAAACAAACTTTAAATTACACACTTAAACTAAAAGTCAAATACTATCTTGAACAATGGACTTGAGAGCAATCGTCTGTAACTCAAGACATTTAATGTAATTACCAATCTCACTCAACATTTTTTCTACATTCATCTCTTCTCCACCTGGCAAAAGCTTCTGCAATTCCCTCAGTTTCTCCTCTATCTCTCCTTCGTTTCGGCCTTCTTTATCGGATCTTTCGAGAATCCGAATTCCATCGGAAGAAGAAGTAGTAGTGGTTGGATTCGTCGAGGACGATAGCTTCTGTAGCAAGAAACGGCTCCATGCAAATTCTTGAGCAGACAAAGCCAAAGCCATGTCTACTTCATGCTTCACGGTTTGTTTTGAAGAGTTCTTGTTCAGGTTGAGCTTCTTGAGTGCAGGAACCAAGTGGCTTGTGTATTTTCTCGTGAAAACTGCACTAGGGTTCTTGTTTGGTTCAAGAGAAAATACTCGTTTCTTCTTGTTTATGATTTGCCTCTCCATATGAGAAACTATTTTTGCTGCAAAGGAAAGTCTACAAGGGAGAAAGTTACATATATAGCAAACTTAGAATATGAGAGAGACAGAGAAAGAGAAGAGAGGGGTCCTACGTTTGTTTGTATATAACAAGCGTTGATGATGTATAAAGTAAAGTTGTAGAACTTATTTTGAAGTTAATTTTCTTTGTATACATATATGAGGTAATATGTTTGGGAGTGCTATTATTTTTCGTTCACGTACAAAACACAAGACGATTTAAAAGTCGTAGTTAATAGTATTCTTTTTTTGAGACATATTTTAAAAAACAAAGGACTACGAATATCGTCAACAAATATTTGTAATTTTTGTATAATAATATTTTCTTTTTAAATAAACGAAAACAAAAATATAGAATTAAAAAAAAATACATGAAGAGAATAATAGGAAAGAGAGTGTATATATATATATATATATATATACATATATACATAAAGAGAGAAAAGGAAGAAAAGGAGAATTTGGGAATAATAATGGCTGAGGGAAGAAAAAACACATGGAGTCACATGCAAGAGCTCTAATTTGGCTGCATCACAACTACCCCTAAAGAGGTGCTTTGAGAGACCCTCTTACCATGTGGCTCCATTCCAAGAACAAGACATCAATACAAAACCCCACCTTCTCTTAATGCCTTCACATGTTCCTCTCCTCTTAACCCCTCTCTCTCACTCACACACACACACTTTGTATATACATGTATGCATGTGTATGTGTCCTTGGACCAATCTCCTTCAATCTCCTAATTAATTTGATCAATCTATGTCATTTCTCCCAATATTATCATAAATCTCCCGCGTATATACCATTTGACCCTTTCTATTTTGTTTTATGCTGCATGTGTGATGAATTTGGTTTCACTATCCACTAATTTAATTTTGCGATCTTTGGATACAGATGGTAACTTGCTAAAAATAAATTTGATTATAATTAGCGGTAGTTCAATCGGTGATCTGTAAAACATCGAAACATCTTTGAATTCGAATTTTTCTGACCACTGCAATTAATATAACGTAGATACAAGTTTCTTTACTATATATATGGACATTAAGTTAATATGCAAATGTAGTCAAAATTTTGGTTATTAATACATGTTTTATTTGTCGAGGACTTTTGGCCTTTTGATTTTGGCCTTATGAATTTTTTTTCCCTATAGGATTTGTAAATTGATAAATATAGTTTATGTTGACACAAAAGGTAACTTTTGATATGATATGAAAGTCTGCGTATTACTCATTTATTTCCTTTTTAATATATACCGAGATATTTTAATATATAATAGTGTGTATATATAATAAATAAAATGTCCAAAAAATATCTACAACTACTAAACATGGGCGGTTTGAGACATTACAAGTTGTCTCTTAATCTATAGTGCCTAATACATGCAATATACACGTTACTAGCTTTTGTTGTTAACAGCAAAAACTGAATGGGATCATCTTGATTTTGTTGTGTTCTTCATCCTACCACACAAAAAAAGTCAAGGGTTAGTAGATTATCAATTAATGCAGCAAGGAAAATTGCTTTCTCTAATGTAAATTATTTCTTATTTTTGTTGAAATGTGATGTTTTCTCTTATTATATTTTAACGCAATCCCATAATCTTTGATTGAATGTGGAAAACATGTGTTAATGGTAACCATCTAGATGCAATTAATACTTGTATTCAAATACAAATAGATTTAAGGTATTCGACTATACTGAAATCATATTAAATAGTACTATTAGTTTAAAATATACATATATACAAAGGTAGAGGAATTTTATAGTTGAAAACAAAATAAATGATATCAATCTAATAGGAGAAAGAAAAAGAGATGCAAACTAATAGATGCGCATACGAAATTACCAATAGATAGATACTAGATATTCACACCTATAGTAGACATTGGACAATAATGCATATAATCATAAAAGTTTCTTGGAATTTTGCTTGATTTTCCACCTTTGACTATTTTAACGATCCACGTTGAAAAAATGACAGAATTAAATGTAACTCTTTACAATCACACAATCAAGCTAGGTAAAAACAGATTCGTAATTGTTCAATAGTATCTTTACATAAAAATATAAAGAAGCAATGAATACAACCAACTAATGCCAATAATATTAAAATATTGAACTATTTTGTCTGTATGAACCACAGGAAATCGTACAAAACTGTCAGAATAAATTGTACAAAGTCTGTGGAGATTTCTATCGAATATTGTAGATGGCATGTTTATGACTTGTTTGTGCTGTTCTTCAATTTTGTGTTCTCTTTATATATATAAGCTTTTTTTGAATTATTTTAACTGAAATAAATATGTGTAAGCAACAATAATATGAGAGCGGACCCAGATAGAGGAGAAAGAGATATGGCTTGGATTGGGATTTGGGAGGGACACATCTCATGTGGGTTTGAATTCGAGTGTTTTGTTTTTATTCTTAGTTTGGAGCTATTTTCACAAATGTCCCCACGTGCACTCACCATTTAACATTTCTTTCTACAACACCTTCGTTTATTGAGAGTCACAAAAAAAAAAAAAAAACAACGCCTATACTATATCTCAAATGTAATTAATGTCCTGTCTTCGTGATCAAAACTTTAGCATTACGATCAAATCTAGAGGATATATAAAAGTGATTTTTAAAAAGGAGGTTTAATATAAAACTGTGTGCTTATATTTTTTTAAATTATTATAATCTAACGTATGATGAGAATATAGTAAACTACTCATACTTTATACCTATAGACTATAGTAGTAATTGTCATAAAGAGATCTTAAGAAAAGATGACGAAAAAAAGACAAGATTACCGTTCTATTTTTATCGATGACAGAAACACATAAAATCCAGGTACCCTTTTTTTTAACCATTTTTATTTTATTTTTTGCACTCCCACGTATTGTACGTCTAGTGGCTTAACAACCTGTATTCTTTGTTCCATCGATAGAGATTTTTGATTGTCTAGCTCTCTGAGTTTTATGTAACAAAAACACATTTATTTTTGTTGTTCTTAGTAAAACATACCTTATATAGTTATATATATCACTAAAACGAGAAACGAAGGGCATTTGACATTAAATAATTAAAAACGAAGGACACATTATTATAATGTCAAACTATTTGGCAGGAATCTTTATATAAAATTAAACTGTTTTCTAGTACAAATAATGTAATAGAAATTTAAGAAGAGGACAAGGAAAGTGCAGTAAAGATTTCCTTGTATTTGGTAGGAATTGCAACTACGAGTCTCATCCTCCTTCACATCTTTTTTTCTTGTTCTTTTCATTTTCTTCCCTTTTTTTTGTCAAACATTTCTTTTAACTTAACATTTAGTAAAGCAGGAACATGAAATTTTATTGTTTTGCCAAAAAAGGAACTCAAAAGTGTACGAACAAAAAATATGAGAATGAGATTATTGGGTTCTATGCGTTACAAAAACAAAACTTTTCTTTGTTTGGTCGGTCCATTGGTCCACATGCAAGTAGGCTTGACAAGGTTTTTAACAATATTCCAAACTATAACCATAAATTTGTATTAAATCAAGTAAATAACTATTAAACATTTAACTGCAAAACATATATGTACGATACTTAACATATGATTATAAAAAATGCTAAGGGTATTTTTGCTCAAAACGTACAAAATCTGAAACTTTAAGTTACAGCTTTATCATTGATAATTTATTTATTAGGATTTATGATCATTTATCTAAATAAATCATTTAAGTTTGGGTCACAAACGAAAGATCACACTGACTAGCCAAATCGGTTCGAATTTGAAAACATTGGTCGCACGCAAGTAAAGAAAGAGAAGAAGCAGAAAGCTGTTATTTGTACTTCTAGATTGGGCCAGAATAATGGGCCTCTCGATTATAAATGCAACAAATCAGTAAGTCCAGTGTAGGCGAAGGTAACAAACTAACAATTGCAATTAGCACATACAAAAGTAATTGCCTTTATGCCATAATAAAGAGGGTTGAGGAGGATAGTGCATCTTTTATAGGCGAAGGGAAAGATTTTAGCGGTGAATATTTTTGATAACTTTATCAAGATAAATTGGTAATTTTCTTGTTTCAAATCTTTTATAAATGTTGCAACAAAATATATACCTTTTGTTCTCCAATTATCTTAACAGAAATAAACCTATCCAAGTTTTATTCTTTGATTTTTTCTATCCTCCCTGGAATACCATAATTATTATAACATTAAACAAAAGGAAAAGAAAGAAACTAAATAAATCCATCTTATTAATTCAAGTTTCCATTTTTCACACTGTTGAACTCCTTATTTTAACAACAAGAAATTAAATTTTATTATATTAAAAAAAAAAAAAAACAAATCCTCTCAAGGAATAAAAGAGAAAAAATCTCAAGATCACTAATTGGCACGTGAACAATCCCTTCGAATCTCACCAGCATTACCAGTCAAAACACCAACCCGACCCAACTTGGTGATGGCTGTGATAAAAGCTTGTCTAAAAGCTCCTTCACTATTGGCAAATGTATTAACTGTAGATCTTGATCGTTGATCTGTAAACAAGATTTGATCTGACGAGAACAAACCCTTTCCTTGTTGGAGATTCTTGAAATAAGCATTATCGAAAGTACGTGGACTGGTCGGATCCATGTTGATTGCAATTCGTACGTCGACTCCGATCGGGCACATTTGCTTAAGCTGAATCACGTATCCACTATTAATAGTCGGATCGATACGTCGGCTAGGGCTAAAATTGTAGATTCTCTTTGTGAATTTTCCACAATGTGCAAATCCTATAGTGTGTGCTCCTGAATTATTTAACACAATAACATTAATACTATATCTTAATTGGAATTTGATTAAAGTAGAAAATATAAACGGTTAAGTTCGGTTTTGGTACCTGAGAGGGCGATCATATCGGTTTGAGAGAGACCGTGACGGCTAAACATGCCGTTGAGCTGGTTTAGGTTAAAACCGGGCTGAGGCAGTTGGTTTTGAACGCTGGACTGCGTGGAGATTCTGCCATCTCTCCTCCCTAGCTCCACCGGGTAGCTCGGTCCTCCGGTCTGCAATTTTGTTTAGTTTTAATCATCAGATTATTATTGTTATTATTATTATTATAAAATCTATCAATAGTACATTTTTATTAGGACTATATGACCTGTGAAGTTGTTACTTGGACTTGTATTAAATGGCTACAAACCGCCAATAAAAAGTGTAACTTTTCTAACAAGAACATGCTTTTTTATATTTAATGATATGATTAGCTTTTTCGCACAAGAAAAATGAAAACGATATATACTGTAGAAAAAAACGAATTTTCAATACCTCGGACATTATATAATATTAAAGGAAAAAGAGAGGAATATTAACTTATGTTGTAATAAATAAATAAAAATATTAATACCAAAACGACGACTTCACGAGTGGCGAGAGCCAAAATGTCAGCACATGAGACTTTGTTGCGGCAGTTGGGATTGCTATCAACGGCTTGCTTCGCCTTCACCACCGTGTCGAATCCATCTCCGGCCAATGACATGTCATCTGGATGGTCTCTCTCCGACGGTGATGCTATCATTATTGACGCATCACACCCCTAAACATTCATATTTACATAAGAACGTATGTAAATATAATGTTTTGTTTGAAAATGATATATAGAAAGAGAAACATCTTAAACTCTAAATCTAGACGTTTTGCGTAGATTTCGATCAACAATAGATTTTATATTGTAAGAAAATATTGTAACCTACCCGAACGAAGCAATCGTGGAAGAAGAGGCGGAGAGTGGCCGGAGCCGTAACAAAAGTCTGCTGGAATTTCTGACGGACGGCGTTACGGACAATGCCTTCGACGTTCGGACATGAGTTCTGGTAGAAACCTGTCCGGAGCTGAGCAGAGACACATGAAGAAAGGAGAAGAAGAAGAGAAAATATGGAGAAGATGGTTTGGGCAGTATACTTCTCCATGGCTAATTCAATCAAATGTTTTAATCTTTAGAGTTCTTAGAGAGTCTCTTTTTATAGTAGATAGAAAGAGAAATTTAAATTGATAGGTATGGTACAATTTGGGCTAGTTAAAATATAATAATGATTTGATGATTATTCTGATGATGATCTGTTGAATGATATATTAAAATAAGGAGTAGAAATTGTTAGGAATGTGGATGTAACACTCCATCTAGATATTGACAACTTGAGAGGAGGCTAAGGTGAGGCATCAAGTTAGTATTTTAATCTTTCTATATTTGTCTTAATTATCAAGTAAATCCAGAAATTAGCTGTAATGTGTAGTGGTCTGGTCTATATTGGTCTAGACACTGATTGTTTTCTTTTAAATGTACAAAATTGTTCACTGCATACGGAAATTAGTTACAATTATTAAAAGAAATGTGAATAGTTACTACAATATGTGTGTATATATATGTACATGCTTAGCCTTTTTTAATAACAGTATAGATGCTTGTCTTTGACAACTCAGTAGCATGTTACAAGTTTTATCATTTCTCACCAACTACATAAAACAAGATCGAGAGGTGACAAGAAGAAGAACTCATCTTATTCATTTTACAAGTATGATTAGTATCTACCTTAAAATTTAACTTTAATTACAACGTGGAATGTGATCGGATGTTGACTAGCTTGTCATAATTAACTAATTAATTATTTTATTTATTAAGTACTTGCAATTGTGAAATTATTGAAAATACTATAGGATAAGACTTTAGTTAAGAAATCAATCTAGTGGTACTCCAGTTAACACCTTAGTCATATATATATATATATATATACTCACAAAGAGACTATTGATATTTCGTTATATTGCATATTAATAAGGAATTGTTTAGTCTTAAGAAACTATCAACCGACTTCTAACTTTTGAGTGACAATTTTTTGTTCAAACTGTTCATCATCCATTTTTAATGGTAATGGTTCTGACATAAACTCGATTTTATTCTAAACTTTTACAAATGCCTATATGTAAATATGAAACCAAAACCACATCTTGGTTTCATGCGTTCAAAGCTTCCTTTTTTATTCAAGAGATTTCGCCAATGGATATTTCAATATTTTACCCATCCCCAATAATGCCTAAACTCCGGACCATAATACTATACCTTTTGGGTGGCCATGCGTACAAATTTTACTTGGCAAGATATATGAAGTTAAATCTGGAAACCATTTAAATTGTAAAAACGGTATTATGATATCATTACATTACTAACTTATAAATTGGATGAAGAAAACATCAAATATACTCTTAACAAATATATATATATATATATATATATATATATATATTCAAATATCCAATAATATATTTGGGAGACAATTATGTAATGTGAGACGATGCAAATTTTCACATATTCTATTATATATTTAATGTATTAGACCTAATTTTAATTGTCGTTAAGAGAATGATTAAATCCTGATCGTCGTATTAGGGACAGTTTTCTTAGTTTTTCTTTGAAATGATTAAGTGATGCACAATAAAACAAACTGTAAGAAAATTATACTAATTAATAACTCGGCGTCGCGGTCACGAACATGTTCCTTGATGCTGTAATATTGTCAATAATTGAGTTGATAATGTGTGTTTTTGTGCTAATTTCTCACATACGATAAAAAAAGATATAAGCTAACCTGGAAAAAAATAACGCATGTCACTGTAACGCCAACTTCGAATTAATTTAAAATAAGTTACTAACAGTAAACAAACTTCCAAAACTACCCATGATTTTATATGAATTAGACGATAATTAATTTGAAAGCAAATGATTGTATCAAATTTTTTACATCCCTATGTAAATGGTGTTTCGACCATATTATAAATATCCGATTTTCACAATAGAAATATTAGGATTAAAAAAATGTAGGAAAAAAAGTTTGTTAAGAGATCTTACATCAATGACTAGTGACTTTACAATTTGCATGATGACAATATGTTAATAATTGCTACTATTATATAGTTGTGTTCTCGCTTGGGTTGCTGAATATTATATCTAGCTAGATGAATAGTTCTGTCTCGATGATCCAATTAAGTCTAAACTAGAAAGTTTCGTATAGTATATATAATAATTGACGTCTAGAGTACGACAAGCTAAAAAGCCTAAAAATCATTAGGGTTCGTTAAGACGTCCAACTAGTGAGATGTGGATATGTGAATGTGATTAGTCTTATGACTCATTTTATACTATTAGTTAATTTGCTCTGAGTTAAATTGCACATTTACTTGACACGAAAAGTATTACGTACCAAAAAGTTCAAACTCTGCAGACTGCAGTCTAGAGAAACCACTAAACATATGTTTCGGTTTAAGTAAAAAAATTAGGAAAAAAAAAAAATTAGGTCAATCGCCGCTAGTTGGCATATGAATTATTTGATCAAAGTTTTATAAACTAATAATATGATACTCAAAATTTATGTAAGAGTTTTACGTCTTGACGGCTCTAAATTATGTCACATGGCATCTAACCATGATTATAGGAAACGACGCCGTCTCCATCATCTTCTCATGTATTCAGTCTTTAGAGTTTAGACACTGTAGAAAGTTCTTGTTACAGATGAATGAATAAATGAAAAATATTTATTTAAATGTAAAACACTTATAAAGTGGTAGGTAATTCGTTCCTTCCTCTTTTGGTCAACAAACGGTATTTCTATATTTAAGAGAAAATGTTGTAAAAAAAGCACAATTTTAGTTTGTACACTTTTGCTGTACACCAAAAATAAAATAAAAAAGCACTCAATTCTCAACTTCTGCAAAACAAAATTACAGAGTCTATTTGTTTTTATGAAATCTCACTAAATAAAATCTTACTTTTGAAACCAAATTTCCTCAATTTGATAGCAAAATAACCCCAAGAATAAATAAATCAAAGACTCAAGGTCAAGACCTGTGACCTGAAGAAGAAACAATCACAAAATATGAAGAAAACAAAAACCTAATCAAATTAAAGAAAAAAATGGAGATTGAAATAGAGAGAAACAAGCAAACAGATCATGAAAAACAAATCAGAAAGACTTGATGGAGAAGAAGAAAGAAAATTAGAAGAAAAGAAAACTGCTCTGGGTTGTTTTTTTTAACAAGCCATGAAAAATGTATTATGCTTCTCATGGGGAGCAGAAGCAGCTTAAAATGCACTGACACTGTCCCTTGTATCTTCTCCTTATAGCTGAAACCACAAGAAAAACCCAAGAAAACTTCACCATATGTTCTCTGTCGAATAAATAACGTAATTTTAATGCTTGGTTTACGACTGTGTATGTTACCGGATCTTTTGATGGAGAAGAAGAAGGATTATTTCTCAGAAAAGCTGAACAGCCATTTTGAATTTGTTCTGTTTCCATTTAGGCAGCTTGTAGAAAGCTTCTTTCGTCATACCGAATTTCTCCTTGAACTCCTCAGATGAAAGGTAAGCCTATAACAGAGACCAAGAACTGTAAAGATTTTCTCTTCCATTGAAATCTTTTCACTTACAAATGAAATTTGTTTTTGGTTTGAACATACCTCTCTCCTTGTTACATCAATGTCTGAGACAGGATCAGTGGAAGTTGTCTTGAGACGTTCGTAAGGGTGAGCTGGTAAATCTTCCTCGTCTTCGACTCCTTCTTTAGCATCTTCTTGAATCGTTAGAGATTCTAACCGGCTGCTCATCGATTTCTCCTCCTCCTTGTCATTTTCCTTTTTCTCTTCCTGTTCTTTTGAGTTGGATTCTGGCGCTGGAGACTCAGGTGTCTTCGGGCTCGCTACATGTCCAATTAAAATAAAAATGCTCAATACTCAAAGTAGAAATCTCTAAACCAAGATGCGAAAAAGATTGAAACTTGCAGATAGATGAACATTCTGCAAAAATGTGAATCCCAAAACAAAGATGATAAAGATTGAAACTTTCAGATGATCACTCTGCGAAAATGTGAATCCTTAAACCAAGATAATAAATATTCACACCTTCAGATCATTTATTCAGCAAAAATGTTTGTAAATTATACCTTTGAGTGGTTTTGGAATTGAAGGTTCTTGGGGAGGTGTTTTTTCGAAAAGTGCACTACGAGAAGCAATGGCTGAAGACTTGGGAGCGGGAGCAAACTTTGAGGAGTCAGGAGTAACAGATCTCGGGTAGAGTTTTCTAACTACTGGGGGAGGGGTTGAGAGGTTTCTTGCATTTTGGCTCTCAAATGTTGCTGCGAGTGCATTGAACGCTGGAGATCTGCCCCTCACGCGAACCCTGTCTGGACTAAACGACATACTTCTTGACCGCTGCTGCGACTTGTCAGGAACGCTGGCACGGCCACCATATGAAGCTGGAGTTCTTCGTTTCGGTTTCTAATTAACAAAGGCACAACAAAAGAGAAGAATTAACAAACAAATTTTTAAAAAGCACACTCTGAATAATCATCAATAAGCAAGAAGAATCATTACATCTGCAACTGGAGTTCCACCATTTTTGACAATTTTAAGTTTTCTTTGGAATGAGTTTCCATGCATCTGTAAACAAAAAAAAAAAGTGTTTAACCCTATGTCAGGGCTTCCTTCCGTGCTTATTTCTCAGGGAAACCGATTGAAGTTGATAGGTACGTACAGTGGATTTTGAGGAATCCCAGGAAGTGAAAAACCTGGTGAAGAATGACGGCTCACCGCCTTCCATGATCACATATATAGGGGCTTCAGGGGATAACTTCTCCAGGAGAGAATCTTTCTCGATGAATTTCTAAGGAAACAAAAGGTATATAAATGAGAAACTTGCCTAAAAATTTCAGGATCTTTTGAGACTAATTCTCTCTAGAGTTAAGGCAGGGTTTAGTTTGCAATGTATCTACTATATCTGACCTCTCCAATACTTAAAGCTAGTAACTTGCTCTTTGGGACTACTTCTTGGCCAACCCAGACAAAGATTTCTGAGTGACAGTCTATTATAAATATATCTTCGGTCATCAAGTCATCCTGTGTGAAGTTATGTATCTCTGTCACCTGCCAAAATATCACAAAAACAAAAACAAAAAAACCTGGGATTAAGCATTTTCCATTATGATTGCATAAATCTTTGGTGATAAAAACAGATTTTTAAAGTATACGCACCTTCAGAATTTCTGGATTAATTTGCATTTCAGCAATGAAAAGAGGAAAAAAACAGAGTCATTGTGTGCATATATCATCTTAGGCTTAAACTTTATGGGGAAAAAAGTTATGATCATTGTACCTTTTGTGAATGTACAGGAGAACAAGTGAGGGTCACGCTCGGGTTCCTTCGTGAGCTTTTGGCTCGAATATTCAGCTTTGCCTCCTAATAACTCCCAGAACTGTTCTGATTCTGATCCTTCCTTTTGTGCTCTAGCCTGTAGATTTGGCTGAACAAAAAAAAGAAATAATAGACGCTGCTTAGGCTACACATAAAACATAATTATGAGTCTTATAATTGATCTTTACTAACTATGATTAACACATAATTGACTTATCCTTCTAGAGATAAGGTGAAACTTATCTTACCTTAATCAGATCGAGCTGCCTTTCGACGAGTTCTTGGTCAGTTGCGGTTGATAGATTTCCAGCCCAAGTAAAGACGGAAGAATCATTATGTAGTATGTAATAGTATGAGGAGTTCAGTGATGAAGCAACCTTGTTTAAGTAAATAGAAAAAATATTAGAGCCATGAAGATTTATGTCTTAAAACATCTGTGAACTCGATATGGTTCTCACTTCTCAATGATTCTACAGTATCAAACAATGAAGAATGGGAAAATTGACATATACCGGGTCAACTTGTATAGCTTGCATATTTTCCGGACCAGACCCTTGAATGCGGAATAGAGCAAGACCATTCTCATTGTATGTATCATCGTCAACTTCTTTCTCGGCTATGTATTTCTTGTATCCACTGCTAATACCACCCTGTGAAAATCAACAGATCGGTTCCATCAGAAAACAAAATCAGCAGACATTGTATATACTCATCAAAGAGAGCATGGATGATAAAAAAAAAACCGCATAACGAAATTATTTTTCGCCAAACCTTGAAAACGATAAAGCTTTGCATAATCACGAAGAATATAACGGGTTCCTTTCCTTCATAAATGCGAGCCTAAGACAAGAGAATGAAAATGTTCAGAAAAAAGAAAGAAGATAAAATCCAACGGCTTAGAATTTTGGAATGAGTGCAGAAGAAGATTACTTGGGCTGGGACAAATTTCATTGACTCAACCATTTTGCTTGCCATAGAGACTGCAGAACCTCTTTCTTCCTACACATGATCACAAACTGACAATTTTAAACCTACTTGCAACTTGTAAGTTCTTGCTTCTGCATATACATCAACAATATCTATGTGACACAATCATGTAAGAATTTGCCTCTGTTATTTGGAGAGCTCACCTCCACACTTTGTTTGCCGAACCACGTTCCTATAAGGACTTCTTCTTTTTCTTCTCCGGGATAAGAATACTGGAAAACATAGCAATCTCCACTGTAGAATTTTGAATGATCAGCAGCTTGAAGGAGAGTCTTTGCCTGACCATTTACACGCCAAACCTGCAGATTTCCTGTGCAATCGATGAAAACTTGAGGCTCTTCTTTAGGCGGAGCAGCTTTCATCAGGCCTCTGACATTTACTCCTTGTCGTTGCAAAAGAGCTGCTCAACAAATGACAAAAGAAAAAACCCAATAACATTTCAGCTACCTGTCAGTATTTAAAACCATTATCCAGTTTTGAGTTCAGTATTACGGACCAGCAACTCTGCCTCTACCATCCTCTGACACGGTTGTGTTAGTTTCTTGAGTCCAAGATTCAAACTTTGATCGGAATGGTACGGTTTCAAACCCTTCTATTATGCGGATCATTTGCGATTTGGGTCGTTCAGATGAACGGATCATTTCCTGTATGGCTCTACTAACATCAGCAAACATTATGGCATACAACAAAAAAATATATTCAGACGTTCTTTCGATTTAAAAAAAAAAAAACTTACTTCTGCTGCTCCACTCGCAATTTTTCTATCATCAAGAGAAGTGGTTCTTCCCATCCAAACAAACACTTCAATTCCACAATCAAGAATGTAACACTTGTTTGTATCCAGCATCTCCCTCTTCAATGTATCGCCTTCAACAGGATTTGCCTGTCCCTTCTCGACACTACAAATTCAATAAAGAAAATTGTGTTCATTTAAGGCATTATGGGCTCAAAATGTATGTACTATGACGAGAAGATGTTACCAAAATAATTTGGTGATATCGGAATTATAAGTTTTGTCTTCATCATTAGCTGTTTTCCTAGGTAGCGGAGCAAACCCACCAAAGAAACCCCAAAATTCTCCACTGTCAGCATCAGCCATAAGTTTTCCATCCTCTGCAAATGAAACATATGCAATTAGAGACCAAAGCAAAGAGAAAATAGAGATACTAATCCTTAATCCGACGGCCCACTAACCAACTGTTGCAACTTCACATGTCCCATCATGGTAAGTATCTTTGATGTACTGAACCACTTCCAGTGCTTTTGCTCTCTCCTGGATACTTGAATTGGATCCATTGAATTGGAAAATCTTGGACTTTGTATCAAGAATGTAAATATCGTCATGGTTTAAAGAACTCCGAGCAAAAGGAACCTGTAATCAATTTAGACCGTTAGTGTATGACTACAAAGTGAGATAAAAGATAACGGACAAGGAACCAAAAAGTGAAATGTGACATGCCTCTTTGACATGGACAACATGTTTTCCTCTGCAGACGAATAAGCGGGTAGTATGTTCTTCAGCTACCACATGTTTGAATCCAGATGCTACTCCACCTTCTTGAGGAATGATACATGGCTTAAAATAAGACAAGAATTTCTCGGTTTCGTTGCCTTGAACTTCCCGATACTGAACTGCACGACCTCCAAGAGCAGCATCTAATTCAACTGTCTTAACTGCAGCAGTCCCGGCTTCATCCTAATTTTTTTTAGAAAATTATTTTCTCTCAAACTTTTCCTGTCTTTTTACGAAAGTAAGGAAGAAAAGGTAAATGAAATATGAACAGTGGGTTACCTGAGAGGTATCTTTACCAAGCCAGTAATGGATATCATGGCGCAATGCACCAGTTTTTAACGCCGTTGTCTGGTCACAAAAGATTGATCACCAGATATAAATAAATTTAACCAAGACTCGATGAAGGAAACCAGCGTAAAATGGCAATAAGGAAACGAAAAAGAAGTCGTTACTAGGCCTTATATACCTTCAATACTATGTAAGAATCTCCGGTGAAAAACTTCCCAATAGAAGATTTTGGAATGGGGGTAGGGAGGAAATTCTCTATACGCCATATCTCAATACCACTAATCTATTGTCAAGGAGAACATCATGCAGATATTTCAAACATAAATGTAAAACACAGCATCTTTACTATAAGATCTTTTAACAATATAAGATTAAAGGATACGCCTTCTGTCCAGCTCCTTGGAAAGCTGGATCTAAATCTCTCATGGAAACAGACATACTTAAGCAGTCTTTACCACTTTCTCCAACTTATGAACACCACAACGATAGAGAAGACTAATAATAACCTACAAGACACCAGCAACTAAGAGTAAAATCTCAAGAATCAACAAATGCAAAATCATTCTATCAAAGCCAATCAAAGGACACATTCTAATTGCAGATAAGGCATCACAAGCAGTGAAAAAAAGTTCTTGTTATATGCATAGTTCCAATGAAAACCGAAGAAACTAATATCGATTATCATCATTGCCATACACTAATCAAAAAATCAACTCATAATCCACCACGGTCAACATCATTCATCTCAAGTCAATCTCTATCAAAATGCTATGAAATATATGTTACATTGGAAGTAGGGTTTATGTAAATTTCACAATTTCCCAGACTAACATTAGATGAAACCAAAGCAAAACTCAGATATTCGAGAAAAAAAAGGAGGAACATTTCCATTGAACATCATCATACTCACCGAACCAAAACATTTCAATAAACAACATCACAAAACCCAAGAATAGATAAAGCTCAAAGATTGATGCTTTCTACACAAAATCTATCTCACCAATTAATAAAAACTAAAACTTTGGCTTTAAAAACAAACTTATCTACATGCAAATTTCAGAAATCCAATCAGATCAACGCAACTAAACCCAGAAACTGAAAAATCTCAGAGAAACCAAAAAAACGAATAAATTCGATACGTTTCAGTAATTACCTTATACAAATCCGCTATTCAGCTCCAAGCCCAGATCCAATCTAATGACAAAAATTGCAAAAAGAAAGTACAAAACTTTGGTCAAAATTTTCGACCCTGGAACAAAAAGATGAACAGAAGAAGAAGCAGAGGAAAAAAAGTGAAAGAGAGAGAGAGAGAGAATTGAATTGAAAGCTTTATTTAGAGAGAGAAGCTGATAAACAATTGAAGTCTTAGAGAGAGAGAAAGGTTGGAGGGAATGATGAGAAGCCAGGCGTGCTTATCACTAACCCAACAACACAAGAAGAGAAACCCATCAACTGTTTATTTCTTCATTCTTCAATTTTATAAAAAACAAAACCAAATTCAACATCTTTGATGGATGAGAAAATAAAAATCCAAACTTTTTTTTTTACGGTTTTATTGTTTGGTGGTGATTTTTATGTCGTTACCACTTCTGGGTTTTTCTGACCGTAATAAAAACACTGTAATGAATGGAGATTTTTTTTTTTTGGCGCAAATCTTATTTATTTTGCTTTAAATCCCATTAATGTTTTGATTACATGTAACCTTCAGGTTTAGGACAACAATCTCATAAAAAAAATTGAGTTTCTACAGGGGTTAGATATGTAATTAAATTTGGTCACATCTCTTTATTTTTGTTTATTCTGATTTACAGGTAAGATATTTGGTTATTTCCATAAAGTCAAACCTTTTATCAGAATTTGTTTATGCTCCTAATGCCGTTACTAACTATGATGGAGTCCTAACAATATATTTAAGGAATCTGAATTAAGGTTTATAATCATAATTATTTGTTCCTAACATCAGAATTCAGTAAGAAAAAAATATTGTTTCACCTAAAAAGAAGAACAAACAAAAGGTCCTATTACCTTTAACTTTAAGGCTGTTTGTCACCCTTTTTTTTTTCTCTCTCTCTTTCCAGTTTCCAGTCTTCGTTAATCAATAATTTCAAGCTTTATGATGATTCATTAGCAATGGGTTAGTTTCATGAATTAGGAGAAAGAAACTTTTTTAAAAAAGTCTTATGAATGAATTAATTGGCTTCCTTAGGTGATTAATTTAGATCAATCTTTGTTGACAGAAACATTGACCAAATTCTGATCATATCAATAAATTGAAATATCTTTGATAAGTAGTTTTGTATTTTAATATTTTTTGCTTATGGGTGTCTAATATGAGTTGTACTTTGGGGTTTCTTAATATTTCTTTTCTATCTTAAAATATATTTCCTCTGTTACATAAGGATTAATTTTTTTAGAATTCTCATAAATATTAGATGAACTAAATTTTGTTTGATTTAGGTTGATTTGTTTAATTTTTCAAGATTAATTCAAATATCTCTTTTGACATCAATTAAATTAATATAGAGTAAATAAAAATCATAAAACAATTTCATTTTCAATTTTATTTAACATAAGAGTATATAGATTTGACTGTTTTTATTTTTTTGGAAAATGTAACAACATACAAGAATGAGATAGAAAGATGGAACACAAGAATATTCCTTTTCAGAAATTAGGACAACTTTATCTAGATTTTATGTGTTTGAAATAGTTTCGAACGTTTGTTAAATACAATTTTCCTCTGCTTCTTACCTCAGATCGTGAATATACGTGCATTACTTGTGATCGGGTCAAATTTAATATGTACCAAAGATTTCATAAGTTATAAATATCTTGTTGGAAAATATATTCTATTTTTTCAAACAATAAGAGGGAAAAAAAAAAACTTCTAAATATAGATGATTAGTTATACACTAAAGCAATTATGGATTAACGACGATCGTCTTTTAGTTTGGTGATGTGATGAAGTTTTTTGACTATACGATCAATTTCCACAACTATACAGAGATAATCATACAAAACTTAATAATAATCATATAATGTAGTAATTTATAAACATATTACCATAAACTTTCATTGCCGATCAATAAGAAAACAATACCATGACTATTGTATGATTTGGCTAGCGTTTATATGGGACCAAAGTGAACGAAATATATTGTTTTATGGAGTGTTTTCGTAAATATAATATTTTCCACCTTATTAATGTGTACGTCCGAGTAATAAAAATGACAGTATCTGAATGTGCTCAATAATTGTGGAGTTAGTTTATGGTTGGTCACGGATCATAACATTTTACCGTCTAAAATGAGAGCAATATAATCAAAAAGTGATAGTTTATATCGCCAAATTTTTACTTTCATTTCGTAATAGTGCTTAATACGAAAGTTGATGAAACAATTTATGTCGCCGTAGTACTATGTCACCCATCAGATTTATTATGCGTAGAGAAAGTATTTCTTTTTTTTGGGTAAGAGAATAAATCATCTATTTTCTATAAAGTTTCAAAAAATGTATACATCAACCTAAATTTTATATTCAGAATAAAATAATTATAAAATATCAAAACCGACCAAAGTAAAGTATGTACACACAACACTTTCGGCTCCAATGTATAATGATTTGACGAAAAGGACAATGACTTGGTCATTTTTGTTCACAACGACTATCGTATATTGCCGCCGGCACCGTGGAAACTGATGGTCGGAGCCGCCGTGAATCGGTGAGATACTGTGGCTTATTATTATTTTGTTTGACAATCTTTGGGAATTTCTTGTTTAAAAATAAAACGAGCAAAGAGTGTGATTGTTTAGTGGCAGACAAGAATCAATATATATATAAATTTATATAGTTTGCGTAAATCATGTCTTAATTATCGATTACTATTTTCTCAAACAAAAGATAATTACCTACCCATCTTCAACACAAAAACAACACAAAGGCAAGACCGCAAGAGTCTTACACAAATAATCCTTCATTCTTTTAAAGTCTAAGACATTTATTGCGCAAAATTAAATAGTCTAAAATATGCTATAAGTTTTTTCTTCGTTTATTGCGCAGTCTAAATTTTAATAAAGACAGATTTTTTTTTTTTTTTTGTCATCTAGATTTATTATTAATTACAAATTATGAGAACTGTTACATAGACGATTCTACAACTGACAATTCCTTCCGACCCTTACTAGATCCACGACAGACTACACTTCCTTCTTCGTAATCTTGATGAATACCTTCAATGATCCACGACTTGGCGACACTTCTTTCTCTGCGTAGAATCCTGGCGAACGGCTATAATTGTACATCGCTGGAGATCTCTTGCACACTTGCCTCAATTAATCTACAAATTTGTTAATAAATCGCAATACCTGGGACTCGAACCCCAGACCTCTTGGTGTAGAAGCATTAATCAACCCTTGGTCAACCAATGGGCCAAGGGGGCTTCCACAATAAAGACAGATTATAATATTTTTTTTTTTTTGAAAGATAAACAATAGTTTTGTGAAACAAAATCTTAATCATATTAGGCAAAACACATGGTTACGGGGTTTGGATTTTTTATTGTATTTTCACGAAGGAATACATACAATAAGAACAAAAGCGACCATTGTCTGGTGACTCTGGTCTTAGAGAATGCCCAACTTTACAACTTCAAAAAGAGAGCAAATCCCATTGTCCCCAGCCCCAAAGAGTCGCCCCAACATGAGAAGTAGAAAAGTAATTGAAAGTTTTCTAGACTTTTCCTCCATACTTGAAATTCAACTTGTAGTCTTGTTGCAGAGTTGCTAGAGAGTTTCTACAAGGTCCTTCTGCAGAAGAACAAAGAAAGGCCAGAGACAAACAAATTATGTCCAAAACCGATTCCTAAAATTAGAACATTAAAAAAAAAAAGATGTGGCAAAGTAAAAAGGGTATTTATTTACCACCAAATACTGTATGGAGATATTGAAGATCGTTAGGTGAGCAAGAGTCTATAAGAGCATACACACCAGGCCTTAAAGCTTCATCTACCTCCCTGCAAAAGTTGCAAAATCAATTAATTCGAATTTACTTATTTTGGTGGGATCCTAAAACTTGAGAACAAACACCACTAAGCCATATTTGCAGTAAGTAGTAGTTTTTAGTCTCTTTCTGATGAACATTCTTACGAAAAGGGAAAATGTATGAAGAGAGATATAAATGGGAGAAGAATGTTACCTTTCGAGACCCGTCTTAAGAGGTCCATATCCGGAAGAAACCCATATGTAAGTTGACAAGAACTTGAAACAATGCTGTCCAAAGACCTCCTTCTGCTGTCTTAGCTGCAATCCAGTTGTTTTTAGAGCAAAAATGAGACACAGCTAGTTGTAGAATCATTAAGGAGGAAAGGCTAGATGCATTGACGTACCTCTTCATAGATCCTCCGAAGGAAACAAGCACATCTAATTCCCTCTTCCACTTCCCATGAAACACAATTACCCAATTTTTTTCCTGCTGTCTCCAGACTATGAAGAAGCGCAGAAACAGATTCTTGGAGTGTAGCAATGGACCCCTCAGTTTCACTAGATGTTGATATGTCACAGCAATAATAAAATAAGATGCAGTTCTAAGATGGTAAAATTTAACTGTGTCTAAGCAAAATAAAGTTCTACTTACCTCTTATGATGCTTAACAGCTGTATATAGTAGTCGGCAGCAAGCAGCGTACAGACTCACTGAGAATTTCTTGTCTACTTGAAGACCTTTTGAGCTTCCTAAAAGATCTTGTTGCTGATCATCCTTAGATAACAAGTTTCCATCCAAAACCGAGAATCCCACCCTTGTTGCCTGGAGGTAATCAAGAAAAATTGCTCCGGGTATATGTATGGATTGGCTTATGTGCGATGAATCCATCCGAAACAAAGCGTGTTTCCCTGCTATTCTTATCAGGACTTCGACACACATGAGAATTACTGACCCAGAATCCGGAGAACTGGAACCCTGGTTGCCAACGACTGCATTTGTGAAGAAAATAAATGGACTCTGCATGTGAGCCATTATACCAAACACTGCAGACAGTAAGCCTTGAATGTGCCTTTTAACCACATTCAAACGTTTGCGACCTACAAAACAATTTTACTATTCAGTCAAATAGGCAATAAAGATATCTTCAGCAAAAATATCAAAATTTAGGTTCACAATGTGTTTCAATGACACCACAAATACATCCTACCGGAAAAAATGGCAAATAGATTCGTTTCATTACTGTAAGTTCACTATTACAACTATTAACATCAACTTTACTAAGATTGCCTTTTAGAAAACAATTTTTTACCTGTGGCATGTTCCAGAATTAGGTCCAGACAGTCAAGACCAGCAGCAACAGTTTCAGAAATTCTGCCTCCGTCTCTATTTCCAGTCTGTATGCTATAGATAGCTGGGCACACTTCCCATACTCCAACCAGTGCTCTTTCTATAGCCTGTACTCCAGACAATAAGTGTAACTCTGAGGAACTTTGTATAAACACTTTAAATGACATCCTAAGCCTCTGTTTTAATTCATCCAACCAATGCAATCTGTGAGACTGGTTTTTTGCTGATAGCACTAGCTTAGCATGGATTGCATTAGTACCAAATCCTGTCTCATGAGATTCCAAGGTAGCCTCTTTTCCTTGTAGTGATATGCATTTCCCAATCACCTTCAGGTGCAACTCAATCAACTTTGAGTAC